GTTTACAGAGGAAGAGGTTCTATTTCAACTGTCAAAAGTAAAGACAAATAAGTCAATGGGACCTGATGGAATACACCCCAAGCTATTAAAAGAGCTTAGTGGTGTACTAGCAAAACCATTAACAGATTTATTTAACCAATCATTGTTAACAGGAGTAGTCCCAGAAGATTGGAAGTTAGCGAATGTTGTGCCCATTTACAAAAAGGTAATAGGGAGGAGTCGGGCAACTATAGGCCAGTAAGCCTTACTTCAGTAGTGGGGAAAGTGATGGAAACCATGTTAAGGATAGGATTGTTGAACATCTAAAAACACATGGATTTCAAGATCAGAGACAACATGGGTTTACTTCAGGGAGATCATGCCAAACTAATCTTATTGATTTTTTGATTGGGTAACTAAAATTATAGATCAGGGTGGTGCAGTAGATATTGCTTACCTAGATTTCAGTAAGGCTTTTGACACTGTTGCACATAGAAGGCTTATCAATAAACTGCAATCTTTAAGTTTGGATTCCAATATTGTTGAATGGGTAAGGCAGTGGCTGAGTGACAGACAACAGAGGGTTGTAGTTAATGGAATATATTCAAAGCTTGGACTTGTCACCAGTGGGGTAGCTCAGGGATCTGTACTTGGACCCATTCTCTTTAATATTTTTATTAGTGATATTGCAGAAGGTCTTGATGGTAAGGTATGTCTTTTTGCTGATGATACTAAGATATGTAACAGGGTTGATGTTCAGGAGGGATAAGCCAAATGACAAATGATTTAGGTAAACTAGAAAAATGGTCAGAATTGTGGCAGCTGACATTTAATGTGGATAAGTGCAAGATAATGCATCTTGGACGTAAAAACCCAAGGGCAGAGTACAGAATATTTGATAGAGTCCTAACCTCAAAATCTGAGGAAAGGGATTTAGGGGTGATTATTTCTGATGACTTAAGGTAGGCAGACAATGTAATAGAGCAGCAGGAAATGCTAGCAGAATGCTTGGTTGTATAGGGAGAGGTATTAGCAGTAGAAAGAGGGAAGTGCTCATGCCATTGTACAGAACACTGGTGAGACCTCACTTGGAGTATTGTACACAGTACTGGAGACCGTATCTTCAGAAGGATATTGATACCTTAGAGAGGGGTTCAGAGAAGGGCTACTAAACTGGTTCATGGATTGCGGGATAAAACTTACCAGGAAAGGTTGAAGGATCTTAACATGTATAGCTTGGAGGAAAGACGAGACAGGGGGGATATGATAGAAACATTTAAATATATAAAGGGAATCAACACAGTAAAGGAGGAGACTATATTTAAAAGAAGAACTACCACAACAAGAGGACATAGTCTTAAATTAGAGGGACAAAGGTTTAAAAATAATATCAGGAAGTATTACTTTACTGAGAGGGTAGTGGATGCATGAATAGCCTTCCAGCTGAAGTGGTAGAGGTTAACACAGTAAAGGAGTTTAAGCATGCGTGGGATAGGCATAAGGCTATCCTAACTATAAGATAAGACTAGGGACTAATGAAAGTATTTAGAAAATTGGGCAGACTAGATGGGCCGAATGGTTCTTATCTGCCGTCACATTCTATGTTTCTAAGTTCTACTCTTGCTCAGTGCCCTGTCGTGGTTTCCCTTGTGGTTGTCCGAGAGCACGTTATTGATTCTGCTTATTCTGGTTATTTGACTTTGGCATTGATTTTGACTTCCCTGTTTTCTGGCATCCCTGACCCCTGGCTTTTCCTTATCGTTGTGTCTCTTTCTGTATCCCTTGACCTCGGCTATTCCTGGCTATTCTTTGGTACGTTAGTCCGGCCATTCTAAGGTCCGGTATACGTTACCTATCAATCCTCTGTGTTACACAATTCTACGTGCTGGATCATATTGTAATCCTGACAAATACCCAGTGACTATAACATCAGGAAGAAGGAACATGATAAGGGGGAGAATACCAAGGACTGAAAGAAGAGCTAGCAAAGATGTGGAAAGTGAAGGCAGTAGTAGTTCCAGTTGTGATAGGAGCCCTCAGGGCTGTGAGTCCCAAGTCGGGGCAGTAGCTTCAACAGATTCCAGGTGGGACATCTGAGATCGCTGTCCAGAAGAGTGCAATTCTAGGAATAGCTAAGATTCTGCACAGAACCCTCAAACTCCCAGGCCTCTGGTAGAGGACCCAAGAATGAGGAATAAACATACCACCCAGGAAGGGTGAGAAAATCAATTTATTAATAATTATATATATATATATATATATATATATACATATATATTGAACTATTATGTGAAAGTCAAAGAGTGCAGATATGATTTTGCAAGTTATCTACTACAAACAGATAGCAAGTATCAGGCAAAGTAAGAGTGCAAACACACACACACACACACACACATATATATATATATATATATATATATATATATATATGCACTTTTTTTTGTTACATAGTTACATAGTTACTTTCATATCAAGTATAACCACTTTGGGTTTGCAGACGCCCCCTAACCCTTTATTCCTCGTCTGTCTGTATTCCATTTCCTCTTAAACATACAAACTTTGTCTCTAGCTACACATATAAACTCAGGAATTTGCAGGAGATTTTATATGTCAAAATGCGTTATTTGGCATATTAGTGGTTGTACCCTACTAGTTGTCAATAATACAGCTGGGAGGGTCGTTTTTCTGGATTGTGCCCCAGTGCAAAGCAGAACTCTATGGTTCTCTATAAGAAGTATTGCAGCAGGCAAAGGGCATCAATTGCTGAGCATGTGGCCCACATTTCAGTGCTTCACAATTAGAAGTATCGTATTTTCTGAGAGATCATCAACTATGATGATCTACTGGTGGGAGGAGCACATGCCCAGTAAGGTTATTGAGTTTTATTAAGTGTTCTTGCATAGCAAGACCACTTAATGTTATCTCACATATATATTTTTATTAAGTGCTCTTGCATAGCAAGACCACTTAATGTTATCTCACATATATATTATTAAGTGTTCTTGCATAGCAGCAAGTGATGTCATAGACAGGGCCTTTTGAACACCTGCTAATGTTTTTATAAATGTATGGTTTAATGTAACTGTGCAACAACGTTGCAATAAAATGTGCTATATAAATGATAACAGTTACTCCGCCCACTCCAGTTGTAAACTACTGGTGGAGGCAAGAACACTTCACGCAATTTCCCCAGAAATTGTAGCTTTTCTAGTTAAGTGTTCTTGCATAGCAAGACCACTTAATGTTATCTCACATATATATTATTATTAAGTGTTCTTGCATAGCAAGACCACTTAATGTTATCTCACATATATATTATTATTATTATTATTATTTATTATGCAAAATTTGCCACCCTAACTCCTCCCACAGTTTTTACACTACATAGACAAAAATTTACCAAAACGTGCAGATTGTTCCCGATCGGATTGCTATTACTTTGTGGAACGTTTCGCCGAATGGTTCACGGAATATCGTCGTTCTTGTGGCGAAATTTGTCCCATAGGAATGAATGGCAAAGCTAGAGTGGGAGCTGGCAAAAGCTGAAAAATCAGGACATGATTTCTAAACTGCCACCACTCCCTTATTTTCAGGCCCACCTACACAAATCTTATATCAAAACGTTCAGCTATCCCTGCTGCCACTAAACATGTCAACGGCTAAGCCGTAGTCCTGATAGTTTTCACAATATAATAATTTGTTTGCAACTAACGCCGTCCATTGACTTTCATTGAAACTTCACTCTGCAAAGCTCAAATTTGAAGTGCAATTTCTAAACTGCGACTGTGCCTTCATTTTTTAATACTTCAGAGACATACTATGCATCAAAATGTAGGTCTGGGTCTTGTGATTCCCACAATATAAAGCTCTTCACTGTAGGATTTATAGTTTTTAAAATACGACCGTTTGAAGATGGCAACCGCCAAAATACTCTGACTTGTGCCAGGCTGCAACAGCAAGTGATGTCATAGACAGGGCCTTTTGAACACCTGCTAATGTTTTATAAATGTATGGTTTAATGTAACTGTGCAACAACGTTGCAATTAAATGTGTTATATAAATGATAACAGTTACGTCGCCCACTCCAGTTGTAGACTACTGGTGGAGGCAAGAACACTTCACACAATATATATATATATATATATATATATATATTATAAACAATTATGCCATTAGGTGGTAATGGTCAAATTAATTTAGATGTTGAAGCACAATCATTAGGTAAAAGAGAAAAATGTGTGAGGAACAGCCAAACTCTGGTAGCATGGGGAGGTTGCTGAATATAGTTCTATGTCAAAAGTTATACACAATGGCAAGCACAGCAATAAGACATGAGTTACACTACATCAGCAAGGTCTCTCCTAGGCATGACATTTCATGGTAGATACGGATTTCCAAATTTATAAAGGAAACACTTCTGAAGAAGCACAAAGAAAATGGCAGCATTAAAGAAAATGGCAGCATTAAAGAAAATGGCAGCATTAAGGACTGTAGATGCAGTGGTCACTTAAGGAAACTTAGTGCAGCATATGAAAAATATATCATACTTTCTTTGCAACTGCAAGATGTCCAGCCTTGCCATCACCTTTAAGTTAGCAGAAACCAGGGAGACACTGGTACATTCATTTATAATCTGTTAAAGTGTGGTCAGAAGTTGTCTTCATGGAAGACTTGAAGAAACATAGAAACATAGAATGAGACAGCAGATGAGAACAATTTGACGCATCTAGTTTGCCCAGTTTTCTAAATACTTTTATTAGTCCCTGGCATTATCTTAGAGGTAGGATAGCCTTATGCCTATCCCAGGCATGCTTAAACTTCTTTACTGTGTTAACCTCTCAGTAAAGTAATGCTTCCTGATATTATTTTTAAACCTTTGCCCCTCTAATTTAAGACTAAATCCTCTTGTTGTGGTAGTTTTTCTTCTTTAAATATAGTATCCTCCTTTACTGTTTTTATACCATTTATATATTTAAATGTTTTTACCATACCCCCCCATCTCGTCTTTCCTCTAAGCTATACATGTGGTAATAAAATACATTCCGACGATGTAAAAACAAGGTTACTTGTCTGTACTATGAAAATATCGAAACTGCAGCACCATTAACATTAACTGATGAGTGAAAATTTTAAATATGTGTCTGTAGCAGAATTCCATTTGTTCATCAAATGGCTGAAGAGGCACAACAATGAGTGTCTGCTGCAATAGGGTGACCAAGAGGGGTTTGTTTTCAGGAGGGAGGCACATGACAACATAATTATCATACTGACTATTCTCCATCATTCTCAGTTGACTTAGGAGAGACTTCTGTGGGGCACTCACAGAATCATTTCCAATACTTAATGGCACCAAGCAGGGATGCATGCTACCACCCTTGCTCTTTGTCCTTGCCCTCAAACCCTTACTTAATGCGGCTCAACAAAAGCATGACCTTAAAGGTATAAGGGTGGTGAAGACTGAACATGCTGTGGCTGCATATGTGGGCGACCTACCATTCTTCATGATGGATCCTGATCACTCACTAGAATTTGATACTTATAGCGACTTGCTGAACTTTAAAATTGACTATACAAACAAGGTTAACCGCAGCTTAATTGACAATTACTGGGTGGTCGCAGTTACACCTAGCCGCCACACGATGGCGGTGTTATGGAAGCCTCCCGGGTAGTCGGCGCTTGTCCTACCCAGCGGCAGAACACCAAAAGCGGATACTTTCTCTTTCCAGCCCTGCTGAGCCTACGGGTCTCCAGCCCGTTCGGGAACCGAACAGCGGAGCATTCAAGACTTTTTAGTATGAAAATGTATTCCGTGGAAAATACCCAGATAGCATACCATGGAGCCTGTTCGTGGAATTAAAGACTTTGGCTCCATGGCGATTAAACTGTATTCGTGTGGTCTGAGCGCCATTCGATTAATAATGTGCGCTCAGACCTGAGCTATCTGGGGCTATGTTAAATGTATATATTCATTGTAACTTTTGTCACATAGTGTATTTTAATAGTAATTCCTATTTTAGTATCCCCACGTGCATAATGGCGATTTGCCTTTGTCCTGGGAGATAATTGTATTACTTCTCAATTATCTCCAGGGCAGAGGGGAGGAAGCCAGGATGCATTGTGGGAATATATTGTGACTGTATGTCCTAAATTGATACCTGTCTGTCCTTGGTTACACTCTCCCATTTGGTCCCCTAGGGGATTGTCCACCAAGTGGGAGACCTGCATAAATATGGGCGGGTAGCCCACAGTAGAGCCAGTTCTTGTTTTACCCTCAATGCAGAGTTTGGTCTCGTTATTGGGAGGATTTACTACACACGGTTAGTGACTGATTGCTGGAAACGAGTGTCTTAACAATGCCAAACAATTTCAACATCAGTTCTCCTTCCAGTGGATGGAGACAGAATTAAAATACCCAGGGGCCTGGGTAACATGAGATCTTACCCAACTTTATCAGCCTAACTTTCAGTTAATACTGACCCGATTAAGGAAAGACTTGAAGGACTGGTTGGGACCGCACCTCTCTTGATTCAGCAGGGGGGAATTGCAAAAATAAACCTTTACTATTTTTGTTTCAGGTGTTTCCAATAACTATACCCATATCCTTCACTTCTTACGCTGATGATGAGGTTCATTTGGCTCAAGTCCACACCACTCATTCAACATGCTGCGGAAATCCAGTGGAGGTCTGGTCCTCCTGGACTACAAGCTTTATTATCAGGTTACATACCTCAAGAGGGTAGTTGAGGGGTCTAAATGGGGTGTTGTTAAACTCTTGAAGGAAATTGAGGCAATACGAGTAGGCAGACCTATGATGACTGTACTTTGGCTTGACCCAATTTACAGTTCTAGACTTGCAGTTACTCACCCTTTCATAATGGCTAATCAGGCACCTAAACTTGGGCTTGTTTCCTTCCACTCCACACATTACCCTGTGGTTTACAATTGGGCAATCCCACTGGGACTGAAGGTGATGGCATTCAGAGACTGATGGGAGATTCCCTCAAATGAGACATTTGCTTATTGACAGAAAAGCTAGATCTTTGGCAGCACTACTCAGTGCTGATGCACCAAACAATTAAAAAAAACTGGTGAAGGTCTTTTACCCTACTCCCCAGAGGCCTCTTCTTCTAAGTGACCTCACACCTTTGGAGAACACCTGTACAGATGCAGATCCCCTGAAACATGGGATATATATCCTACATAATATGATTATGACAAAGAGGAGGTTGCCACCTCTTAGCTTCATGGGGAAATAGGAGGAAGCTCTGGATAAGACATTTAATTGCTGAGATTTGTAATCTAGAACAACATTGTAGTGTATCTAGCAGAATACAGGAATTTGCATGCACGTTGTTATCTTTCTGGTACTGAATCCCTCAGATGTTGCATGTGATTGTGCCGACCATTGATGAGAGATGCTGGAGATGCTGATGGAAGATGAAATACCAATACCCTTGGAAGATCTCAGATATACTAAAATATCTGTACCCACTGGATACTCTCTACATAGTCCATTGATTTCCAAACCCTTATAAAATTGTTCCCGAGTCAGAATGAGAGGCATCGTTCCCGAGTCAGAAGGAGAGAGTGTGTGGGTTGGCTGCTGGGTTTCCAGTTGGGATATGGGGCTTTTTCGTGTAGTACGTGTGGGTTTTTGGCGTGGACTTGGGAGAGGGGGTTTTTATGTTAGTTTATGCTAAAAAAAAAGTTCTCCTTGTGTTTTTTTTTCCTTATGCATGGTAATAATTGAACTCAGTTAGGGACCAGCGTGTCTCTGGTGATTATATTTTTATAAAGACATGTGCCTGTGAGTTTCCCTTTGCATATTTGTCTGATGATTATCTTACAACCTTATTAAGACCTGCCTGTCTCGTTGAATGCCTTGTTATTTGTCTTTAATTTTACAAAAATTTCTACTGATTAAAATGAAATTTACACAAAAACAAACGAGTATCTGCAGGCAGCAGTGAAGCATTGTGGAGGTTTTGTGTTTTGGGCTGCATTGCTTTGAGTTGGGGATTTGGTCATGTATGCAAATGCTTTTATGTACCTATAAAAACAAAAGTATATTCTTCAGAACTACGGGCACTTTAGTATAAGTGATTCATTGATGACAGGAGCTCTCTTGTGATGGTGTATAGTTTTCATCACCAAGTACTTAGAAAGAATACTAAACAGGACAACTGTGAGCAACAGGTCCAGGGGATGTACATGATGTTTCTACATAAGGGCTACAGTAGGGATATCTTTGACTGAGCATTATTGAATAATGGTGAGAGGCTTTTGGCAGGTCCTATCACAAAAGAACAGAAGGAGAACGGAACTATCTGTGTCCAGATTTTCCATACATAATCTAAACAGTTTCGAGAAGTACCCCTCTACAACTTGGCCACGCCATTAAAAGATCCTTTGTTGCCTAGCAAATTTAACAGTGATTCTTTTTTTTGCTCAATTTATGGGACATTTTTATGCATACCAACCCAGTGTCCAGTTATAGCTCCATGGAGAATAAATGTGTACCATGTATTTACAGATGTTTGAGCTGTATCACATGTGGACATTTAACCCTAGGCAAGGATTTTTCACATCCACATTCTGGTCATATTTATCATATTAAACAATGGATCACTTGCACCATATTAAACAATGGATCACTTGCACCACATCCCAAATAGTTTACCACATTGTATGTCCTTGCAGTGGGGAGAACCAAGAATGAGCTGAGAGAATGCATTGGGAACACTGGTCCTCAATTCTGTTGCTTGTCA